TGGGTTTGCACGGTGCCAGTCCGTTCTCCATCAACTGCTCGAGCGGGCAAGCGACAACAGTTGATGGAAGACGGACTAGCACCGCGAGAAACCCAGCACGACACGCCCCAGCACCCGCCGCGAACAAGACGAGCGGCAGACGATACCATTTGGGCGACGCTTTCGCTGCGCTGCCGCACCAGTCTCTCCGTGATCTGCTTGCACTCCATATCGAATCGCGCTAATTCTGGTTCCTGCAGTACCTTTAAACCTGCTAGATATGTGTATGATATGCGTCTGCGTCAGGACATCGTAAGACGCAGCGCTGGAAGGCGGGCCTTGTGAGCGTATGCGAAGAAACACGTCCGCTTGAGACTGCTCTAAACGTCCCATCTGGATACGAGTTCAGGCAGTAGGACGAAGGGAGAAAACGTTCTCGGGGCTGTTCGTCGACTGGGGGGGGTATTTTGTACATTCGCTACTTCCCATCGACATGTAGAGCCATGTAGAGCCAGAGCTATGTCATGAGCTTGCAAGAGTTGACAGGTTTTACCAAGATAGTTTGGCAAGCTTGCTCCAGCTTCACAAAATTTCACAAGTTCACAGGTTCAAAACTGACAATGAGATATGCGAACCGGAACTAGTGGAGCAGCGGAAGTTCGAAATTCCCCCTCCCCTTCCACCTGGTGCAGAACTCCCCCACATTGGCTGTTTTACAGTACCTCCCCTCTCAATTTTCCTTATTTCTTCACCCCGACGTAATTATACACCATTAGCATATTCCCATCGTAAAGGATGTTGCCCGATACAGGTCCTCGCCCTGGATTAAGAAACTTCTAGTCGAATGACAATTTGAATGCCGCTTTTCATCTCTTCATCACGAGCCGCTTTTTTCAAGAAAATGAGCTAGAGAGTGAATGAGGAGATAATCGGACTTAACGACGTTAGGCCTAAAGGGAGAAAGTATTATGTCTATCCATCCAGTAGTCTTCAGATCTTCAAGGATTTCTATCGAGATGTGGGGATCGAGTGTCAGTAGAAGGACCAACAAAGTATAACTTGTTTGTAGTACAGAATGCTGCAAATCAACTGCAAAAAAAAATGATATTTAGAGCGTTTCAACTGTTTCTTTTCTTTACTGCTGAGTCACTATTCTGCCATGACAATCAGCGCGAACTTTGGCGCATATCACGGTTCCTCATTGACGCGTCGCCTATCGCCTTCCCTGTTTGGGGGAAGGGCTAATAGTTAGTGAGAAAGTCGCCCTCATTCAACTGGAACCGCCCAGTCCATCACTATGAACTTGTCCCTATAAGGTTTTTTTTGCTGACTGCAATGATTTCAGGCTATCTCCAACTTTATGGACAAGGAGATTCAATTTCTCAGTGTATTCGGGATTCTCGACATGAACAGCCCTCTCATAGGAGAATGCCATGTGAATAAATATAGATTCAGGCCTTATTAGCGCCATTCGGAGAGAATGGCTGGTGTTTTTGTTGTGTTCCAAGCAATAGTAATTTTAAATGTGATCAACCCCATCTTTGCCGATAAATGATTTGGTTAAACCACCGTAGATTTGCAAATGGTCCATTTGTCTTGCACTATGGTCCTGGTCTTGGTCTGGTAGCCAATCGTCTCAGACGCTGGGGTGTATCAAGGGGTCGGGCTCAGCGCGTCTTCGCTCCTTCTCCACCAATGGCTGAACAATAATGAATAATAAATAAGCGACAATAACGGTGAAAAAAAGGGCTAGCGCTGCCCCTCCCCTCACCTCACACGCCGCGGCGTGTGCAACGAAAACGACTTCAGAAACTCTAGTGCTGACTTTTTTCAGGATTTTTCAAGTCCTTAGAGCTGAGTCGAAAGTGTTGGTCAAGTGCCATGGGAAGTGAAGCATGATTGGTTAGTGAACGATGTTCGTGGTAAGAACAGCCAAAATCTCAGGCTGCGTTGTTATTTTGCAGCAGCGTCCATCAGCGAACAGTAGCGTCATCAGCGTTCCGAGCGCCCGGCAGCGTCAGCGACTAGGAAAGTATAGTCTGCTACCCTCCTATTTCCCCATACTCTACCAGCTGTCTGCCACGCTCCTATCGCCCCATACTCTTCACTCCCGGACGCTGCTCTCTACTCCTGGTAGATGGTGTACGTGGTCGCTGGTAGACGCTAGTGAACGCTGGTAGACGCTGGCAGATAGATCGATATCTATACTTTCCTAATCGCTGACGCTGCCGGTCGCTCGGAACGCTGGTGAGCGCGGGTTCACCAGCGACCAATAGCATTTGGTATCCTTGGAATATAAAGAAATATGCCAACATCGAAACCAGTAAAGTATTTCGCATTTATTTTGAGCATAGCAAACTGTCAATAGATTCAAATCAAATATAACTTTCATCTGTTCGTAGCAATTGAAAGACTCGGATCACAGAAAAAAAACATCACAAAGAGCGAAAATGGCGTCATTGAGGTCCATTGAGCGTGTCGTCAGTACGTACTGGTTAGCTTCACGTTTTCAGTACTGCTGAATTTGTGCAGAAAAAAAAGAGAAGAAAGACAGCGCTTGTGTCTAGAGACATCATATTGCCCTAAAAGTTTGCTCAGAGCTGCTTGTCTTCAGGCAGGAGCATTTCTTCCCGAGAAATAAGGCAATTTCGAAGATTCGAGGTCCCTACATAGGTTTGTCTACCTCTGAATGCAGAATTTCTCTGTATTCGGGAAACTGTTCTAGTGGTGCTACGGTATTTGGCTATAATGGTGTCTGCCTATAGCGGAGGGCGATAGGAGCTCTATAAAAGGACCAGAATGACGTCATAATATTATGAGTAATATACAACAAATTATTCATATACACAAACAAAAACTGCCAATAGGTTGGGCCGCATTTAACCTGAGGAGGAGGGGGGTAGGGGTTCTGTAATTCGATACGATTGTGATACGATCGATACGTGGGTATCATTTCTTTGCATTTGACCTCCTATTCTCCTATTTCTACCGTAGTATGTCGGTAGGGACTTGAATAAATACCCCAGCTCCAAGGTAAATAGCGCCAAATAGTCGACAATAATCAATTCGCAACGATGCAAACCAAAAACTAGCGAAACGACAAGTATTACTTAGTCAAAGCTACCGTAACTGTCACAGCAAGGCTTTGGGAGATTCATATGCAGACGTGGTGAACATCAAAGGAATTGCTAGCCATGTGATCGATGTTTCAGTTCGATTTCTGGACTAATCTTGTTCTTCTTCAACGGCTCATCACCTATCGCTTCCCGAATCGGTTCCACGTGACGAACACTGGAAATGATTTAGCTCAATCTACAACCCACTCATCCATCTGATAAAAACTAGAAGCTTTTTTGGAGGGGATTGGTCACAAAAACGGCGATTGACAACTTGAACTGTGATTCTGAAGTATATGGTATTACTACTCTGATCCCTGATCTTTGCGCTCTGACTTTTGGCGCCGAAAGCTGCACCAAGAGTTCTTGTTGTCACGTAACTTAAAAACGATTTAGCATGAGCAGGGGAAGCAGTGGTGAGGTAAACGAGTACAGTGCAGTTCTCAGCGGACGGTGGGGCGGTCCTAAGGACCACGCTGGCGAGCGGCCCGATAGTTGCCTGTTGGTGGAAAGGCGCAAAAACCTTGCCTCTGCGTCTCTGATTCTGACTCTGCGCTCTAACACACGCCGCCGCACAATCTACCCACTCTTCCGTTCTGGACTCTCGCCGATCGATAATTGCTCTCGATCAGCTGATTTCTGCCGCATTTTCGCAGTATTTTTGCTACATTCAGCTTGTTAAAGCTGAAATTTTTCGAATTTCGACTTCGGTTTTCAAAGGTGAGTATTCTTACAATGACTGTCTACGATGACGGGGTCTACATGAAGTCCGGTGCTCCATTCGACAGGTTAAAACGAGTTATGAAAACGCCGCGCCCATCGCCGCGCGTGGCGGTGCGGCGAATTACGATCCTCTTTACCGTCTCCCCGAAAATGCGGTAGGAATCAGCTGATCGAGAGCGCAGCAATTATCGATCGGCGAGAGTCCAGAGCGGAAGAGTGAGTAGACGGTGCGGCGGCGTGTTAGAGCGCAGAGTCATGCATCAGAGACGTAGAGGCAATGATGATGATCTCCTAAAAGTTTTCGCCTTTCCATTGACACGCAATCACCGAAATGCTCGCCATCGTGGTCGTAGGGACTGCGCTTGAGAAGTGTGAAAAGAGGCTTTTGGATCAGCACCATGGCGTGGATGTTTCGCAACTCCAAGGGCAATGTTAACACTCCGCTCCTTGCTGCCTTTTATTCAAAAGTGGCATACTGCATTCACTTTCACCTTGCTTGTACAGAAGTCTGCCTGCTTCTGCGAAAATATATAAGATAACAGATTCAAAATAAAAAGCCATAAAAGAGGAAGTAGGAAAGTTCGCTCTTACCTGAAGCAGACCTTATAGCGGATGTCGAAAAATGCACAACCATGGAAGCATATGTTCAAAAACACCCCGCAGTACTCACATATAGCGAAGACGTCATAAGCTTAAATGGGAACCAGTCAGAGAAGGAAATCTATTAGACACGACTTTGTCCGCCTGCGTGTGGTTGGGGCGGAAGGAGGGGGCAGAGTTTATGCGGCGCCAGCCCCTTCTACACCACCTGTTGCAGCATGAACGCGAAAACGGGTGGTGGGAATTGGACCGGCGAGAAACCTCTACCCAGCCCCTCGACATGCCCCAGCAACCGCAGCGAACAAGGTTGTAAAGAAAAGTTTGAGTAGAAATGACTGGAATGTACTGATGAATCACCAGCAATGAATGACATACCCCATGTAATGCACTGTTTCCAGTAGAGGATGAAGGATCCTACCAGAATTGGTGCAGAGAAAATATATAATCCGCTGAAGGTGATCTTTAAATAATACGATATTCGGCCCTGGAAATGAGAAACCTTTATTCATTTTGAATGGTTATTGGATTGGGAGAGAAAGAACACTTATATTTGCAACATCGCAATCAGTCGGAGGCGTGTAACGAGGGCGGGAAAAGCCCGCCCCCGGCAGCCCTGCTCTGCCAATGGTGATCGGCTAGTGATCAACTCAAGAAGAAAATGACCAGTGTGGCAAGGCGCAGTGTGGGGCCATCCTCTTTGAAAATCGAGCCCTACTTGCGATGATACAATAACCTTTTATTCTCTGCGCAGCGTCCCCCGGAACCTGCCACATCCCGAAAATGGCCGAAATAGGCTGTTTTCGCATCGTCCCCCCTCGAAACGGCTGAAATAGCCGATTTTTGCTGAATTCCGCCTGTTGCGCCGGGCCAGAAAAACTCGCCCCAAAGGGGAACCACCTCGCCGACTTTTATTCCGTTTGAAAACTCGTCCAAACAAGCCGCCCTTTTCGACGGACAACTCCTCCCATCGGCATTAGCCGCCGCCGCGACAAGGCAAAAACGCGACGCTGACCGAGGTGGAAAAACTTTCTTTCGGAGCTCGGCTTTTTGAGCGCGAGGAAACTTTCGTCCAACGGAAATTGAGCCGTTACAGCGGTCCAGGCGAATCGCGGAAAACTCGTTCCACTGGGCACTAAGTCGCCTAGGACAGGAAACGGGTCCCGCCCCCGCGCCCGCGGAAGACTCCGCCTTACTGGGCTCGCGAACGGCACGGATAACTCGTCCAAGGGTCGTCCCAGTGGGGGGGGGGAGTGTCAGTGAATTCGACCGGCTCCCGTGACCTCAAATCATGTTTTTACCGCGCGCGAAAGAACCCTCGCGCCGCGGCGCCGAAATCAGCGCGGAAAACTCGTTTCAACGGGGAAAATTGGCCCCCATTAGGACCTTCAAACGAAGCGCGACAACTCGTCCAAAAGGGTCAGTCAAGTGCGCTGGAATAGGACCGATAGCACGTATTATGAATATGGAGCATGTGACAAGACAATCTTGACAGGCCGCGCAATTCTGATATGTGCATTCGCGGCCGAGACCGAGCTTTCTCCGCCAGTCCACAAAGCGCAATGCACATCAGAATAGGCACGTGTCGCCCGCGGCCTTGTCAAAAATTGCGCGTTGTTCTTGTCCGTCTCGTTTCCCATGAATACAACGCAAAATTCCTGCTTGAATTCAACTCACATATGGATTGAGATAGTATAGCGAGTGAGCATGACAGAAAATGTTCGCCACCATATGTCCGACTCCACAGACTCCGAATATGTAGAAAAATATCACGTGCAACTCTGAAATAATCGAGACATGTTCACAAAGCATACAAAGATAAACGCTTTCGAGCTACAAGCCGCTTTTACGCCCTGCAGATGCTGCACGGGCCTGTCAGAGAGGCCCCCTAGTTTGGCGCCGGTTGCCAATCCGCTCTCTCACCAGTTGCCAAGACGGGCAGGCGAACCCCAGTTGCAAAGGACGGCAGGCGGACAGCAACTATTAGGTTGTCCGGAAAGTTCTCAGCGTTTTGGGTGTTTCACTTTAAACGATCGTAACTTTTTTAATACTCATCGGATTTAATCGAAATAGGCACCATTCGAATCAGCACACTTTTGCCAATGTGATAGCAGTCGAGAAATCCCATCAAGAAAAAACTGGGTGGTCGAGAATCCACGAAATCTACGAGGTCTTTTTTGCCTGGTCTAATTGATGAAGTATTTTTCAGCAAGGAAGTTCTGAAAATGTTTGAAAAGGGAATATTCGGTTGGTGGAAGGTCTGGAGAATATGGCGGTTGAGGTAGAACTTCAACCCCCAATTCGTTCAATTTATGGATAGTGATTTGTGAAAACGTGCGGGCGGGCGTTGTCAGGCAAAAGAATTGACCTTTCTTGATAAGTGGCTGGCTGCATCTGACAAAATTTTCGGTACATTTGGTCGGTTTGTTCACAGCAGGGTTCTGCTGTGATGGTTTGGCCCGGTGGTAAAAAGTTATGGTGGATCACACCAGCCATGACCACTAAGCCGTGACCAGAATCCTTTTTTCGGGAGGATTCGGCTTTGAAAATTACCTCGGTGGTCCGTCAAAATCCAACCACTGTCCTGAACGTCTCCTGTTATCATACATGATCCATATTTCATCACAGGTGACAATTCGGTCCAAAAACAGGTCGTTTCTGCTGCGCAAAAGCAATGCAGAAGGAACCTCGAGACGTGCCGATTCCTGCCGGTCACTCCAAATTGTGGGGCACCCACTTATCGAGTTTTTTCACCTTCCCAATGCGTTCCAGACCATCTGCAACAGTGGATTTGCCAAGGCCTAGCTCTTCTGCTATCTCTCGAACTGTTTGGATGGGTCAGCCTCCAAAATCCCCTAAAATCCTCGTCAGATATTGCTTTAGGTCGACCGCTATGAGGTTCATCTTCAAGGCTGAAATCTCCAGAACGAAATTTGTTGAGCCATTGCCGCACAGTGCTTTCTCTAGCACTATTGGGCTCCCACACCTGGTTAATTTGTTGAGCTGTTTCGATTGCGGATTGCCCCAATTTATAGTCGAAGAAAAAATCGTCCGAAGTGCTCTTTTCACATGCTTGAAAAAATCTTGAAAAAGAGGGGTTAATCAAGCAATGGTGAAACGGCAATTATACCATCAGATAGCGCAAGAAATTCTCTACAGGATGTGCTACTGAGAAGCAAGGCAGAATGAGTTTTTAATCAGCAGTGAATGTACAAAAAAATAGGATGCACAAAAAAACGCTGAGGAATTTTCCGGACAACCTTAATTAGTGAAGCGCTGCTGGTTGCCCGCACCAGATACGGCCCTTTTAGCAGATCTCAGCGAAAGCGGAAACCATTGTATAAGGACCTATCTCACTGCTGTGGTCCTTGGAATCCATACTGCCTAAGATATTTCACTCACGGAAGAGCTGCATCTTTGAAATGCGCCACGCGTGAACAACCATTGCGGCTTGCAAATACTCTCAAGGAGCTGTCACTCTAGCTGAGAAAACGCTAGAATTTCTCTAGCCAGCCTGCCCTATATAAACCCGGTTTAAGCGGATCGAGGCTATTAGGGAGCTCATAGCTGGACCGATCTCGTATGTGAAATTAATTGCACCATTTGTCCCTCAGAGACAAGTCCACAGTCTTGGCTTGACGAATGGTTCACGTAATGTGTCAATAAAAAGTGGATCGGCGGCGACTTTCCAGTTGCGAGACCAGAATGAGTGAGTTTTTGATGATTTAATTAAGCTCCGGGGTTTAGAAATGTCCCGAACTGCTTCGGAGGCACAACTGTCATTGTAGAGCGTTTCCTCGACCTTTCAGACCAAGCCGGGCTTTCTTTCGGGTCAGTTCGAGGGGCAGGCTGGATTCCTAAAGACAGGCATCGCGCTCAACCAGTTCGTGCGGTTCCTACCGCGCCCAAGTAGTCCAATGCAGCAAAAATTGTCTCTCTTTCGCGGCTTTGCAGTAAGTGACGGGACACCCAGGCTACACAAGCCGTCATAAATCAGAGCTAAATACGGTATATCGCAACGTAGATGGCCGCAGGGCCCGTCTCTCATTGTGAACAATGCATTAGCGATAATGAACTTACGGATATTTTCTCGTTCTCCAACAATCGACAATGCCGAAAGAAACATGAGTTCTCCAAGACCGATGTAGAAGTATGTATATCGCGACAACTCGTACAACCATTTATGAGTGTAGTGGACATTCATCAGGCGTTTATATCGTGAAACTAAAACTGAGGGCTTTTCACGAAATCAAATAGTAAATATTATAAAATTCATGGGTCATAATTCTGTGAATTTTGGCTTCAATAAATTATTGCTCGAATCAATCTTATTCTTGGGAACAAAAACATATGTAGGAATAGATTGCCTTCTCTTAAAGATTACTCACATCCAGTGATCAGCTCGATTACCCTGATTGGCACGTGAAAAAGCAAAAATAGCTGCCAAAACGTCCGTTCCACCGACAGATTAATGATTCGTGAGAGAGATGGAAGACGGGCTCGCTGAAAGGTCATGATCTGTGATGTCTGAGAAACGAAGATTATTCCAGATAAGCAGAAAGTTTGAAGGTCAAATTTTGACGCAAGTCGGCCAGGGAGGGAAGGTAAGGGGCTTTTGAGACTGCTCGTACCAAAAAGGAACTGTCTTGATGAGACGGGGAAGCTCCCTCAGCAGGATACAGCATAGTAATGAGTGAAAATCTGCATTATCGACCTTGTCTGGTACAGAATAGTAGGGAGGGGGCGGGGGAGGCTATGTGAATATGAGACGAAAAAAATCGAGAAAAGTCAGCGACCGAGAAAAGGTTCTCGCGGCTCGCCAAACCCCCTTTTTTCAACGATCAAATACGACCCTCTGATTCGATCTTCCTAGTGATGCTTCACCCTGCTTATAGGGCTAGAACGAAGGAGCTCCTGGGTGAATCAAGGAGGGTTTGCATAACGGTGATGCCGGCTTTGTACAAAAGGACCTTTTCTTCCTTCACTTGTCGCTCAGAACTGAGAACAAAAATATTTCACAAGCAATAGCTACCGTACCCCACATTGCCAGTTGTAGTTACTGATAGCGTCGTTGTGGAATATCAATGCGATAAAGATGGCCGATACTGAGCCCACTAATGGTGGAATGAATCCGGCACAGAACACTTCAATCGAATTGAACCTGGAAAATTTCGAGATTTTCCTCTGGCGGAGGGCGAAATCAGTAATGGAGCTGCCTTCCAGTGAAGGGTATTCCTGAAACTATGTACGTCCGGGGCACATCGTACTTATATGTGGGTTTTTTTAGTACTGAACTCCAATCTTAACTTTTAGGATAGAAAATCTCTGTGAAAAGATAACAGCCCAACCTCAGAATTTCAGTGATACGCTTGCCATCCTTCTCGAAAGGCTCGAAAAGACCGCGTTCGTTCAAAGCAGGCGTAGGTGGCTTCTTCACCTCGCCCGAATCAGGCATTACCTTAATGTATCATGGATAACTTGCTATGTAAGAAAATGTATAGAACGAAGGCAGCACGAGCATTATCACGTGAATGGAAGCACTGGAAAACAACAAAAGACGTCATGTCTGGCAATACCACTGGTCGCATTTAGTCGCTTGGGGGGTGTACTTTAGTGTGAGAAATTTTTTCCCAATTTTGAAGTCTCTTTAGAACAACGGTACTGAAGATAAACTAACAAATCACGGGAAACATTATTTTAACGCGCACTTTAGCGTTGTGGGCGGACTGATTGTAAGTTGCACCCAGCTTTCATCGACCTGAAATAATTACCCTAAAATCCCATAGATAAGAGCGGTCCATAGATAAGAGCGGTTTGTGCTAGAAAATGAAAATTGACGTTTGTATACGTTTTTTTGGCGTTGTGTGCTCATGATTATCGCAATAATAGCCTACAACAGAAATTAAGAAATAGAAAGAAAAAGAAGAAGAAGAGAAAAAGAAATACAGAAATTCCGTTAAAATCGCTATTTTTCTATATGAATTGTTTATTAAGTGGGCGGGGTTTAGAGTTGAGGGGCGGAGCTTCTTCTAAACTTCTTCTCCGATTTTTATTTATCCATCCATCAAGTTAGAGGGGTGACTGCATTCAATTTCAATTTCATTCCAATTCATTTTTCACCGGTAAATTAAACCGCTCTTATCTATGGGATTTTAGGGTAATTTGAATGCGAACCGCCAAACATAGACTGCGCGAAATGCTCCCCATCAAGCCGAACAGCGCTGTATTTTTAAATGTTGGGAACTATGCTACACATTACAAGGGAGGGCCTTTACAGGTCATGACGCGCTTTTCAGAAATGGTTTGTTGTTGTTGTAGGGGTCCATACGAGGATCACAAAAATGGGTTTCATTTTTGCTATGCGTTTCTGGGAATCCCAAAAAAGGAGTGAAAAGTTTGCTAAGGAAACACGATTTGAGCCATCTTGTTAGGCTCTTTTCTCAATGTACTGTTGAGGATGAACAGTTTACGATATGATCGTCATTTATGCATTGAGAACAACGCAAATAAGATGAAAAAAACTACCTTACTTGGCAAGTGAGGTAGCGCTGAGGCTTCTTCGGTGATTCCCGCAGCATCCATCCCACACGCCAAGGGTATTTAGCGTTGTGCTGGCGACAAATTGCCTCGGCACCAAATATAAGTGCCAGAACCGTGATCAGGGCTATCAATTACCTCTACATTTAGAGTTCCAGCAAATTTTTTCGAGCCTTTTGGGTTCTGATGACTGGCCAGTTCATCTAGTGGCTACCGGACTACTAGTGCTTACAGACCAAGGGAAGTACTTCTTTTGACTCCAATTCGGCTGCTTCCAAAGCGTAGCTAATGACACCTATAATATTTAATGACACCTAGCAATCTGCATGCTGAAAGCTATATTTGGAACCGAGCCCATCAAGATGACCGAAAACAATCTTCCTTGTCCAGTCTCTCAATCCTTTTTTGGCATTCCCAAAAACGCGTAGCAAAAATGAAACCGATCGTTATGATCCTCGTATGAAGCCCTAGAATATGCATTAAACCATTCCTGCAAAGTTCGTCATGGCCCGAATGAATTGTTAGATGCAATACTCTTAGCGACTGCACCGTTTGCAGGAAAGCAGGAAAGGAAAACAATGGGAACTTAATG